TTTCTACATAACGAAATTCTCTCACACTCTCTCTCCAGTTCTCTCTCTCCAGTTCTCTCTCTCCAGATCTCTCGTTCCCCATCACTCTCTCTTCATCTCTCTCTCACTCACACACACTCTCTCTCTCTCTCTCTCTCTCTCTCTCTCTCTCTCTCTCTCTCTCTCTCTCTCTCGCACACACACTCTCTCTCTCTCCCCAGTTCTCGTTTCCCATCTCTCTCTCTCTCTCTCTCTTCCCCCTCTCTCACACACACACTCTCTCTCTCTCTCGCACACTCTCTTTCTCTCTTGCAGTCTCTCACTCCGACTCCCTCCCTTTGTCCTTTCCCTCTCTCCTTCCTTATCTCTCTCGCTCTCCCTCCCTTCTAATACAAACCAACGACGTTTGGCTCCAGGTCTACGAACACGGCGCGCAGGATTCGCGCTCCCCCTCTCTTTCTCCCCCTCTCTTTCTCCCCCTCTCTCTCTTCCTCATCTTCTCTCCCTCCCTCTGTCCTTCACCCGTCTCTCCCTTCCTCCTTCCTCTTATCTTTATCCCTTCTGCCCCCTTCTCTCTCCAAATACTAACCAACGACGGTTGGCTCCAGGTCTACAAAGACAGCGCGTGAGACGTGCTTGCCCGCTCCCGTCTCCCCCCTTCCTCTCATCTCTCGATCTCTCCCCCACCCTTCTCTCGATCTCTCCCTCACCGCCTTCTTTCTCTCTCCCTCCATCTAGATACTAACCAACGACGGTTGGCTCCAGATCTACGAAGACGGCGCGTGGGACGTGCTTGCCCGCTCCCGTCTCAGAGAAGAAGGTGTTGAAGGAATCGTCGCCGCCACCAAGCGTCTTGTCGCTAGGCATCTGACCGTCTGGCTGGATGCCATGCTCGAGGCAGTACAGCTCCCAGCATGCATTGCCCATCTGACACCCAGCCTGGCCGACGTGTACGCTAATACATTCACGCTGCGGACAAAGAGAGAGGGGAAAATAAAAATTTAAATAAATTATTTTTTCTATTTTCTTTTTTCTTTCTATGTATTATGTATTGTTTCTGTCGCTTTTGATAAACTATTTATATCGATTATGATTATGTTTGGTTCTATTTAAAAAATTATCTTAAATTATTATTCAAAGAAATGCACACAAATAGAGAACAGAACTCGCACGAGTTATTATCAGTAGTGGATCGTCGTATCGCGTGTATACTATCATCTTATTATTGATATTGACACGTATATATATAGTTATCTCTATTGCCGTGTAAGTTCATGATTGTAAGGAGTGGGGTTATATTCAACAGATATAATTTAAAAAATTATTAACTAAATACTGAAGATACCTACTAGGGGTGGTAATATCTTGGTATATTTGTGTGTCACAAACAGCCCATGACTGTTACGTTGTTGGTAATACGGTGCCTGCAGGTTTGTTCACTTCTGATGGTAACAGTAATATATACCATAGCCCGAGACATGATTAACAAAGCAATAAAGAAACTAGCGAAAAGGTATACATGGTCTATCGAAAAAGAATTTGCGTGTATCCAGTACCTACATAATGCATGAACCGTGTGAATTCAATAAGTTTACTGTACGGCCGCGTTTTTAGGTAGAAATTTCGACAATTCATTCAATTAATTACAAGTAATTACACTGTTACAACGACGCTGTCAGTATATCGGGTCTTTGACTGTTAAAAGCAGTATTATTAATACGTGTTATAAACCGTAAAACACAAGAGCTAAACCACTGCGGTATCACATAAAACCTGATTCAGACCTTGGAGTAATCATTCTGAATGATACACGCAAGTTCAGACCTTGAATGTCTGTTGAATGACCTTGATCGAATGACCTTGTTGAATGACCTGTTGAATGACCTTCAATGTCAAATTGAATTGTTCAGACCAATGAATAATGAATCATTCGGATGATTACTCCAAGTTCAGTCCTATACATCTTCATCATGCCTTTCTTCGTCACCGGTAACAATGACATCATCATTATGATACCGCGCGGTACTGCCGCTGTTAACCGTTATGTATAGTAGCTATTACATAATCGTAGTGCCTCCGCTTTGCAGTGTGTATTTCTTCGCGGTTAACTGCCTGGGTACAGTACTACTACTACTAGTGCTAGAGGGCACGCAGCTGCTGTATTTGTGACTCGAACATTTCGAAGCGCGAACGAGGGAGCGCAATTCGTCTTTAAAATGATACAGATCAAAAGGCCGCCCGCGAAAACCCCCTTTCTGACGCCGCCCCGCGAAAGCTCGCGATTACCGTAATCTACTACATTTAATTAATAATCCATCTATGGTACTACGGGAGCAACAATGTCGTAGTCTTTAATAAGTTGGTGAGAAACAGAAGCAGCTTACCATTTTGCAATGATGGCGAGCGAGCGACCGAAGAAGATGCTGGCGAAAGTCTCCTTTATACGACAATTATGGAGCCGATCTCGGAGGGTTAACGAAAATACGAACGTCGACGCCCTATATATGGGCTTTCGCGGTGGGCGTGGCTTCGCAAGCGCGTTCACGCCATTGGTCGCAGCGCCGCCACGTGGCATCGCTGGAGAATCGATCTCGCTACAGTGTTTAAGGAGGCGTGTAACAGTAAGCGTCCGCGATTGTTCACCGTTGCACTACTTCGTCTCTAGAAAAGGCCTTTTTTGGCATTTTTTTTCGCCGAAATTCGGCACTAGAGTGCAATAATTAGCATTATGCACGCAAGGTGGATGCCTAGTGGACGTGGAGAAAGCATTAGAAGTAAAATTATTTTTGTTGTGTATTCGTGACATTCCGTCAGGTGGCGTAGCCACAGTCACCGGTTGGTGTTTTTTGTGTATAAAATGTGTTCAGATAACTTGGTAGAAATTCGCATCATAGAGCTGGCAAAAGTTTCGAGGGGAGCATAGAGCATGAATCTGTAGTTATTTAACATGAATAAAGTGTATGTTTTGTAAGTGCAGTAACAGTGTGAGTATTTTTAATTAATATCTGTTCGATGCTTATTCAGGCCTGCAGCCTATGGACGCCTTCTACTGTATAGCAACACCTATAATAGCGAGTTCAAATTCAAATGTAAATAATCGAACAATGTTGTAAAATATAACATTGTATGGTATTGTATATTACATAGTATGCGTTAGTAATACATACGGAGGATTTAATAATGTAATATAATATATATGGCAAGGCGGATAAGCTCATGAATTGTGAAATTTTTGGTGATCGAAACTTGGCGCACGTGTACGTACAAGCGCACGTACTTTGCGTACGTGAGTCACTAAAGATTTTCTGATCTGAATGCAGTAGCAATTAAACAGTGCCACCTAGTGGCGTAGATTGCCCTTTGTGGTTGAACAGGTATTGCATTGTGGTGCTCTTAGGAGTTTGGTCATAGCGTCAACAATCCATGTCACAAAATGCGCATATATATCTATACCAAGAGCGTATTAAGTATACTTAATACGCTATTGTCTATACTGATACTAGAAGCATGCTATATGAAAAAAAGATGAAGAGGAGGAAGGGCAGTTGCTGCTCAGGGCCCGATTTAGGAGTGGGCAGAGTGGGCAGCGGTCCACGGGCCTCCACAAACCAGGGGCCTCTACATATTTGATTAAAAAAAAATTTGTTACGGAAAAATATAGGCTGACCTGAATGACATGCACGCAACCCGTATCAATCAAAACCAAACCGTTATTGGGTGCATTTTACATCTTACATACGTAAGACATAGCGGCATAACCCATATTGTATTTGTTTGTGAATGGTATAGTCAACTACAGGGGGAAACGTACCAACGGTTCAACGTAGCCAATATTCTCTCTCTTATTGCAGTTAACGTTTTTATTTTGCAAGATAGCCCTATACACATGATATGTATCTATGTATAGTTACCTTTTAGTTTTTAGTATTCTTTCTAAGGTAGGGTGGGCCTCCACAAATGACGGCTGCCCACGGGCCTCCACATGTCTAAATCTGGCCCTGCTGCTGCTGCTGCTGGTGGTGGTGGTGGTGGATGAGGAAGAAGAGGAGGAGAAGGAGAAGGAGGTGAAGAAGGTTGAATAGGAGAAAAAAAGGGGGGGAGGAGAACGGTTACCTGAATTTTGGGGGTTACCTTCAGTGACAGTAGTGAAGTTCCTTACCTCTACAGAACGACCACCTGCATACAAAGGACGATTATAGGGGCCCTTTTAGCGAGAATCATATACAGGTATGACTGTATGTAAAGTGCAATGCTAGGTTTGGAAATGCTGAACCGACAATATAGGGACTGCTTATTTTCAATACATATCGATTTACCATAATACGGAATATTATAAAACATCAGATACCTGACCATACATACATTCACCGTATGTACAGTGCAATGTTAGTTCTGGCAATGCTGAGCCGACAATATGGGGGGGCTACTTATTTTCTATACGTATTGATTTCCCATAATAAGAAATATTGCTTCCTAGAGGTAACAGTTTTCGGAGAGCTATGTTATTCGGCACTTTGTTTAAAAACAATTTCTCTATCTACTGTTACTATCTACTAGTTAGATTGACTACGTCACGAATTTTCTATGGTAAAATTTGTAAAATTTTTGCTGCCATTTTTTTACATTAAAAGTAAGAACTAACGGGACTAAACGTATCGTCAAATTCTTACGTGGTAAGATTGTTTCTCAACTAGTTAAAAATCCAAAAAACCTGGACGATTTGATATTATGTTTGATATTATATTTGATATTATATTGCTTGCTATGGGCTATGTATGCGTCACGAGTGTATGTTCACATCGAACAATATAGTAAAATAAGAAGTATAATGCAGCAATTTAACCATAAAAAGTGAACAGAATTACTTATATTTTGTGAAAAAGTAGAAATATTTTTTTCATTTTTTACTATTTATGGTGACGTAATCACTTTAAGCTAAAGGTTGAGGATTATCCAATGCTCTTTTAAACGGGAGCTATTTTCTAACAGCTAAAGGTTGTTAGATTATTCAGCTCGATTATCAGGTACTTCATAAGGGTGAGTTATTTTCTAACAGCTAAAGGTTGTTAGATTATTCAGCTCGATTATCAGGTACTTCATAAGGGCGAGTTATTTTCTAACAGCTAAAAGTTGAGGAATATCCGATTCGATTCTTCAGACTCTATTCAAGGGTCGCTACTTTTTTAACAGCTGAAGGTTGAGGAATATCTGACTCTATTATCCGGCACTCTATTGAAGGATGGATACTTTCGAACGGTTAGGAGTTGCATGCGAACCACTGCGTATCTCCTAACACGAATAATGACGTTTAAAAGATTTCGAACAACAAACGAACATAGCAGAGAATGCAGAGCTGCCGCCGTCGAATTAAATAAATGTTCCTGACGAGAAAGTTTGCCGTTACTAAGGCGATGGACCAAGTTTACGATGTGTTTTTCAAAATACGTGAAGTTAAACAGATTGATTTTTTGTAACCCATTACGTTGCTGTGGCTCTCATCACTAAAATAACAATAAAGGAAAACCGAAAGAACTGGACGATGGAAAATTTACTGTGCAGAAAAACATCAATGCACCAACATTTACTCAGTTTTTACTTTTAATGTAAATTACCATTTAATCAATGTCCATTTAAACAACGCAGAAAAACGTATACGGCGTATTTAAGCCGGTAAAAGATATAAACACAAACGATCAAGAAATCTCGAGTTGTTTATTAAAATCTGCTGATTTAATCATGAGTAAAACAGAAAAGAGTCAACCATTATGACGCCATCTTGCGCCTACCTTAAACACATGAACATATAGCCAACCATCAGCAGATACAGCTGTGTAATTATTAATCAAAGACACACAGTAGCTATATACCTATATCAATAAAATCTGGAAGCGCAATGTACACTACATACAACCATCGACAACCACACAGCTCATACGTAACGTGCTGTTAGTCGCACGCCCGTTCCTCCAGCTGTGCAGAAAAATCGTTACATCATTATAATTATTTATTTATTATGACTGCTATCATCATCATCATCATCATCATCATCATCATCATGTCTATTATTTACTAAAATAATAAAATAACAGAAAGAGGGTTTACTCCCGCTATTATATATTTCTCCATAACTTCACAAAGTTACTTGCGCAATTATTATTCAAACTATTATATATACGCGGTACTGTAAAAGTGAGCATTCTATTATGTATATATAGCGCGGACGTTTGGACTGATACAAAATACAATGATAAATGAATACGTCTTTGAACAGATGCATTGCTACCTTGTATATAGGTTATAACAAAGCGGTAGAACTCCGGCTGAAGCAACCAGAACTGGCGTCACCTATGGTTCTTGGAGACAGCTAGCTTTCAATAACCTTTGCGTATAAATAACATGAACATATCCATACAATTCAGAGCAAGATAATAATAGATTTACTGTTACTATCTTCCCTATGTCTCCTTTTACTCTTATCTGTCTCACTACAATTCTATACTCTATCCCTGGATACTCTTATTCTATCTCACTACTACTCGATACCAAATCTCACTAGTACGCTACACTCTATTTCACGTTCTCTGTTAGTATCTTACTCTCGATACAACGTATAGACATAATACGGCGACGCTATCCCATAATTTCACAGAATCGACCCATCCGTCTGAGCAAGATAGGCGCCACCGCCTTGGTTACTGTTGCTAGGTTGGTAAAGCTCACCTAATTTATATTTATATATATTTTATTGTTTTACGCCAGGACGACATTGGCGACACGATTTCGTGTTTCGGAAATGGCTTTTTACAATTGTCGACTTTAGGGGACTTCGTTACTAAGCAGTGTTTTTAGAACGCTTCTATCGCAACCACTGATCTCTATACTAATAACGTGATCGCAATGCGTATTGGTTGTTGGTCGTTCAATAAGGACATCCAGATAGGTCGATTCCATCGCAGTCATTCAGAGCAGTTGTCACGTGTCAGGTAACGTCATCGCCGTCGTTACGTCACTAGATTACTACGAGATTTGGCGGGCTAGTAACGTTCACACGTGCGAGAAAACGCGAGAAAACGCGAGACAAGATGTCCGCCACGGGCCAGTAAGAAATAAAGTAAGTAATTAAAAAAAGAGGACCGACATTTTCGTTAATAACACCACGCGCAGTCGCACAACCTTTCATCACTATATATATATATATATATATATATATAGTTACGCGTATTTTGTGAGCTAAGCGCCGGAGTGACGTCACACTGCCAGCTGCCAATGAACTGTTTTCAAATCACGCGCCACGATCATGAACGTATCTACACAAATGTATTGTATCAATTTGTATATAATGTAATGCATTGTATAAATATGTTCATGGTCATGTAGACAATGAAACATTCGTTAACACTCTCGAGCGATACGGACTCGAGTATGCACGACTTCCGGCTAGCATATAGTGAAATTATATGGAAACTATATATGGAAATATGCAAAGAATAACCAACTGTACGTGTTTAACCGATCAGATTTTTTACACTGTAATCTCGGTTACTTTGGCAGATAATGATTTTCATATAAACACAATTACGACCGTCTTTGTCCGCCACGCGGAACGAAGATATAAAATGCGGCTGAAAATTGAAAAAATAAATAAATGAGTTCGGCGCTCGCTAGCACAACTCTCTATACAATAGAAAATATGTGGACAGAATCTTTTAATGTGATAGCTTACTATGGTGGGTCAAACGTCTCACGAAATATAAGGTTAATGGTGGGTTCAAATGTGGGATGTTTAGTGAGTGAACGAGCAGGTTTACTAAAACGCACGCCCTCTTGATGGTACTCTACTTTACAGTTTCACAAAAAGCAATGTTTCCCGCAAAACTGCGAAGAAATTATAGCAACTTCGCAAATCTCCGTTCGCTGAAATTTCCTGCTAGTTTACCATAACTCCGCGCAAAGAAACGGAAGCATATCAAAAACTTCACAAAACGTTAAAATTCTGAGTCCACTACTTCTCTGTTAGAAGAAATTATACTGGAAATCTTAGCTAAAACCTTAATCGGGGAACGGTACCAGAACAACATAGGCATGGCAGCTCTAGCGAGATCCAGAAACGCAGCGAAAAGAGAGAAAGGGAACGACGAAAAAAAAATCGATTGTATACGTTGTATCTAGGAACTTTATTTTCGGAATCTGCCACCAGCCCTTTACAAGTGTTGGGGGACAGTAGGTACAATCGGACAACACACACCACTGGGAACACGCGCCCAAACCGCAGTAACATACAATCCATAGTCATCGCGTGGTGAGATCACTAATTAAAAAGAGCAATTAAGCATAGATCTGTCTACTGCCGCTCAAAACATGATTACATCATCTTTAATATGCGCGGTTTTCCATGGATTGCAGTCAAACTAAAAAAACTAACGTAAGTAAATTCACGACCGAACCACGGTACTGCGCCGCGAACACGTAAGCTGGATTTACACTACGGACTTTATGTTGGCGAATTGCCGAATTAAACCCACTAAACTTCCCAACTATACAACCGACAATCTGCAGTGTAAACGAAAAAATTGCGCGACCAACCAAATCGATAGCAACTAGTTAGGAGATTAGAACATGTTCTATTTTCGCCAACTCGGAGTTGGCGAATTGCGAAATTGGTCCATCTCGCCCAATTCGCCAACATAAAGTCGGTAGTGTAAACCCAGCATTACAATTACGATAGAGAGAATGAGCAAAAGTTCTGGCTGTGTAGTAATAATTAAAAAAACACACCTCCGAAAAATATTCCGCCAGCGACGGACGTTTCACGGGGTTGCCGAAAGATGGCGCGCGCAAAAAAATAGCGGCAAAAAAACCATCAAAAAATGACGTGCACGCGCGTGGGCACGGTTCACGGGCCTTTCGAATCGCCGCAGGTCATCACCGCGACACACGCCGCTAGCTGAAGTATCTACATGTGTGTATAAAGAGCTGGCGTAGATCTGTTCGCTACATATCGAGAGAGAAAAAAGAGAGATCCGCGTGTCACAAACACGCACGCACGCACGCGTAGATGCACACGCACGCACGTACGCGTAGATGTGCACGCACGCACGCACGCGCGCGCGCCACAACGCATATCGCACAACCATAACAACAATAACGACAACAACAACGACAACATTTCACTAACATTTAAGACTGGGTGGGGGACCAAATAGTTGGTCACAGGCACGTGGAGTTAAACCTGCGTATAACGGCCACTCGTGGGAAGCGGCAAAAGTTGCCTTCGCGGACAGGCAGCTGTTCTATGGAGGTGGTTTCAGCTAACAACCGCCATTCAAGGAAAATGCCAAAAAGTGGCCGTTACGAACAGGTGGCCTCTCTACGGAGGTGGCCGCAAACGCAGGTTTGACTTTGATCTCGTCGAAAACATCAACCAGAAAAACACTCCTGGACGACATTAACTATATATATATATATATATATATATATATATATATATATATATATTCAGAAGCGAAAAGCCACACCGAAACGGAACGAGAGTTGAGATTCGTATCGCGACTATATAAGATCCGCACGGCGCTATTATCATACAATCCCCGATCGATCGACACAAAGAAAGCTTTAGCCTGTGATATGATCACACTTGACATTCTGTACAAAAAAATTGATGTCAAAATCAAAAAAAGAACACCCTTCTTCTCGGTGCTCGCTCGATTCCCTCGCTCGGCCGACATACTACGCGCGCATTCACAGTGACATTATAATAATATGGGTATGCCTTTCTAAAGCAGTTGCTCCCATCCTACCTTACAAGCAACAAGCACGCGATGGAGCAAGGGGAACCCCTGCCCGCCAGCCCGCCCAAGAATAAAATCCGGGCATGCCTAACGTGTGCGCGGAGAGCAGGAGGGGGGGGGGCTGGGGGAAGAGTTACATGGCAATATATTTATTTACAGCACATTTTCACGAGCACCACCGACCGATCGACAGACAGAGAGAGCGAGAGAGCGATTTACAATCGGCTACGAAAAAAGCTTTTGCGGCTTTTTCGTAAAATAATCGAGAAATAAATCCGTCGCCGAATCAGATGCGCGTTTTGCAGACGCGCCCCCCGTCCTCGCTTCGCCCATCGACGTTCGCTTGTTCACGGAGATTCGCCGCGACGACGTCCGATATCAAACAGAGGCCGTCGTTGTCGAGAGTAGAATAGCGGGACGCCATCTTGTCGTTCAATCCGCGATGCAGATGTCTCCGTGACTGCCTCGGCTTCACTGAGAGACGACCTGACCGCCGAGGCATCGTCGCCACGGCGACGGCCGCCATCTTGGGTGACGTCGTCGACGACGACGCGGATCGAAACACGGCGCCCAGGTGACAGCACGTGACGGCGGTTGACAACGGCTCGACGGCGGGTGACAACGAGGTTTGTACCAGGGGGGCTGTCCGTGTCACGACCTTGAGTGTCCGCGACCTTGAGTGTGTCATGATTCTGTCGCGCATCACACTCGACCGCGGTCGCCGTGGTAACCGTCCGCATCCGAGGAGAGACGCCGCCACGCCAGACCTCTTTCACGCACCTTTGTTTGTTCGTGATGCTTCCTTACCTATGTTTGTTTGTCCGTAGTAAGTACCCTAGCGCGATGTCGAGCGTCCTCTATTCCTACATTTGTTCGCGGTGCTTCATCCACGATCGTCGTAGCGCGCACTTTACCGCAGTGTTGGGTGTCTATCACCTATGTTTCTTCGTAGAGCTTAACCGACGATTGTTGTTTTCCGCGACGTCGGGTGTCTTTGACTTATGTGTGTTCGTAGAACTTGCCCTACGATCATCGTAACAGTTATACGTAACAGTACGTCATCGTCAACTACATTTGTTCGCGGTGCTTTACCTACGCTCGTCGTAGCGCGCACGTTACCCGCGGCGTCGGGCGTCTTTCACACCCGCGTCGTTCGTTCGTAGCGCGCGACCACGACGTGCGTTCATCACAGTTCGTCGAAACCGACAACGTTCCTCTTACGTTCCGCATACGTTCACCGTACGTTCCGCGTGCGTTCAGCGTACGTTCCGCATACGTTCAGTGTGTGTTCATCGTACGTTCCTCGTTCGTTCATCACACGTTCTGTGTACGTTCACCTTACGTTCCGCATACGTTCACCGTACGTTCCGCGTGCGTTCATCGTACGTCGCTCCCCCGCGCGGTAGGCGTGCGTCGTCGCGCGCCCCGGACGCGCCGCGACGCTCTCACGCAAACGAGAGGTCGGGCACGTCGCCGCCTCCCCCGCCGCCGCCGCTGCCGGTATCGCCCGCGCCGTGCGGGGCGGAGTTCAGAAGTCCCTTCGTCTCCTCGCTCGGGCGCGCCTTCTTGCCTCCCTCGTTGTACATCGTGTCGTACATCGGGTTCGAAAAGTTTGTTGGCTGCAACGAGACGCAGAGGAGGAGGTTTAGAGGTGTTATTATTAATATAATAAAACAATAATGTTATGATGTAATAATGAATAATAATATATAACTAATAATAATAATTCACAGATCGGTATTATTTCGTAGATATTTACTGCGCACGTTCATTGAAATATGTTTCCATACGTACTTCTCCTCATCGACTTCTCCAGGCTGACCTGCCTGCTTACTCTTACCGTGCCTTAGATATACGATACCATGACAGCATGATACCATGACAGCACAAACCATTACGCACGATACACATGAGCAGACGTATACATGACAGCACGATACCAGCGCACAGCATCGATCACCATGACAGCCTGATTACCATGGACCAGCACGATAGTCCATGACAGCCACGATACCACGACGCAGCACGATCCATGACATCACGACAGCACG